TATTGTTATCTGCCTTTGAATCGGCTCCTGACTCCTGGCAAACCCACATACAACAGAGTGGAACACTGACCAGTTCTGCGCCATCCCATGATGTGCTGTAGACCTGAGCATTGTGATCTATACAGATGTTATTGGCCAATGTTCAGAGGTAGATCACCGACTCTTTCTCTATATTCCACTTTAGAAGTTTTGCTGAAACCTGTTCAATATCACAGCAACATGGAAGTTTCTAGTGACACATGGGTAATACATGAGGTGCCACGCTGTGAAATGAACCCAGATCTCTCAAATGCAAGGCAAGAATTCTACCACTGAATAATCAATGTATAGATCATCATTATAGTGATGGTTGTTGTTGTTAAGTACCATAGAGTCTTTTCCGGCTCATAGAGTGTCTACAGAAGATTTCTGAGGAGCAGCTGGTGGGTTTGAACTGCTGACCTTATGGCTCAATGCCCAGTGTGAATCCTACAGTACCATACCAGGAGCCATCACTATACAGGTTGTTGATGTTGTTGTTGTTGTTATATGCAATGGAGTTTGTTCCAACTCATAGCGACCCTGCACAGGGTTTCCGAGGCTGTAAATCTTAATGGGAGCTGAAAGCCTCATCTTTCTCCCTTGGAACAGCTGGTAGTTTCGCACTGCTGACCCTGAGGTTAGCAGTCTGATTCATAACCACTATGCTAGTATAATGAAAATATGATCCTGGGTTATTTCACTCTGAGAGGTAAGATGGGTACTCTATGTAAACTGACCTATGACAAGGTTCTTCAGTGAAAAATGGAAGAGAAGAGGAAGGAAATGTTGGTATGAAAAAGCAGATGCATGTTATAGGAACTGTCCTGGGCAAAGGGAAATTAACAGCTAATCAGTGTCTAATCGGCCAAAAGGCTAATTAGTCTAAGATTTTTTTAGCTTCTAGAAAGTATCCTGGTGTTTGTGTGTTTTGACCCTTCTGTCTTTTGTTGTGTAGGTCTGTTTCTTTCCACCTCCAAAGGACATTAAATCTTCCCTTGATCCCAAAGTTATCATGTTATTGTTTGCTGTGGAGTTGGTTCCGACTCATAGTGACCCTGTACAAGGGTTTCCGAGGCCATAAATCTTTACGGGTGCAGAAAGCCTCCTCTTTCTCCCACAGAACAGCTGGTAGTTTCAAACTGCTGACCTTGTGGTTCGTAGCCCAATTCTTAACCACTACACTACCAGAGCTCCCCAAGTAAAATAAAGCCTTGAACATAGTGGGTAAAGGACATCGTGTTTTAAGATAGTTTTGCAGCATTCCTTTCTCATTTGGGAGAATTAGAATTTTCACATTTCCTGAGACTTACTCTTCCTTTTGTAATCACAGTGAACAGAACAGCCTGCCATCAATACAACCACCACTGCTCATGAGGCAAGATCCATGCTGAGTCAGTGTGTCCATAGGAACACCTTCAAACTCTAATCAAATTTATTGATCTTCCAAGCCAGGCCCAGATGTCATCTCTTCTGAGAGTACTGTCCCAGTCTGCTGGAAACCTGCTTCTACTGTGATCCTCAGCATGATGTACCTGCTAATTTTATTCCAGAACCACGAACGCACATTAGCAACCAAAGTAGCGCACATTTAAGCAAAAAGGTCTTCAATCAGGCATGTCGAAACAATCCCCCAGTGCTCTTATAAATATTCCATATGTACTTTAAAGGTATATATTTATTTCACATTTACTTTAATGTAGGAGGAAGGCAAACATTTTCAGGTAAAGAGTAAAATCCTAAGGGGAGAAAAAGGTTTTAGTTGAACAAAATGTTTTTATTTGCCAGTTTGAGTGCAGAAAGACAGACTTCAGGGCATGACTGGGAATGAGAAGAATAAATGAACAGAAATTTTTGTAACTAGGGAAAGCAAACTATGAAGCAAAGGAGATGACTTAGGAAAGGACATGAGAAGAAAATGACATAAGTTAGGATCCCAAATAGAAGAGACAACAGTGAAATGTTCCCGGAAGCATGACAGCTAAGGCTTTTGAAGAAAGAAACCAATTGCCATTGAGTCAATTCCAACTCATGGTGACCCCATGTGTGTCAAAGAATTGCACTTCATAGAGTTTTCGATGACTGATTTTTCAGAAGTAAATCACCAAATCTTTCTTCTGAGGTGCCTCTGGGTGGACTCAAACCTCCAACCTTTTGGTTAGCAATTGAGTGCATAACCATTTGTATCACCCAAACAGGATCACTAAAAAACAAAATAACTCAATATCCCATTTTATGTTGTTCATCAGGTTAAAAAAAGTGATGATTTTTTTTTTACTTAAAACCAACAGTAAAATCTACCACACAGGTCTTGATTCTGTGGTACCACTGGATGTAGAAAAACTTGGAGGTGGAAGGGAAGAAGTGGTAGTCCTCTAAAGGACAAAATGATGTATAAAGGGAAAAAAGCAGAGACTAGAGAAAGAATCTGCAGAAACACAAAAGCAAATGTAACTAAGGAAACATCAGACCCCTTCAAGGATCCCTGGGAAGTCTAGGGGGCTGCCAGATGTTCTACTGTAAATGGGATATGGATTCAGCTACTTTTTTCAGAATCTTATATAATCTGACTTTAACCAGTTTGAGGGGCCAATCCCTAGAGAAGAACACCATACTTGGCAAAGTAGTGGGTCAGTGGGAAAGAGCAAGACATTCAATGAGATGGGCAGACATAGCGAATGTAAAAATAGGCTCAAATATGCCAATGATTGTGAGGTTGGCATAGGATTGGGCACAGTTTCATCCTGTTGTGCACAGTCATTATGAGTTGGAGCCCACTCCAATGTACATAGCAACAACCAGCTCAAGGGCCTGATGGTGGTGGTGATAGTGGTGGTGATGTGCCATTGAGTCAGTTCCAACTCAGAGTGACCCTGCATAGGATTCCCAAGGCAGTAAAGCAGAAAGTCTCAAACTGCTGGCCTTGAAGTTAGCAACCCAACGTGTAACCACTAAACTACTTGCTCAATGGCCTGGGAATCATAAAAAAGTTGATATATGGATTATAAATAAAAGGCCGAGTATTTCCAGCTCTAGCGACTTGCTGCCCTCCTAGGTTAAGGAAAGAGCTGTCACGGGTTAAAAAGTGGACTTTGGGGTCACACTGCTTTGTGTTCAGATGCCAACTCCATCACTTACCAGCTGTGTATCTTCTAGGAACCTATTTCCTTCTCATTCCAATAAAGCAAGTGTTGTTGTTAAGAGACGTGAAATCAGTGCAGATGCATAGGGACCCTGTATAGGGTTTCTGAGGAGCAGCTGATAAACTTGAATTGTCAACTTTGTGGTTCAAACTGACCTTGAAGTTCAGCGCATTAACCCACAGTGCCACACCAGGAATCTAATAAAGCTAGTAGCATTACCTGTATAATGCATGATGGTGGTGGTTATGTGCCGTGGAGTCAGTTCTGACTCACAGCGACCCTGTACAGGGTTTCTGAGGCTGTAAATCTTTACAGGAACAGAAAGCCTCATCTTTCTTCCGTGGAACAGCTGGTAGTTTCGAACTACTGACCTTGAGGTTCACAGCCTGATTCGTAACCACTATGCTACCAGAGCTAATAACTACATATTTAGCACATGTTTTACGTCTTCTTTAGAAGATTAAATGAGCGAAGACATTTAGCACGGTGCCTAAATCCAGTTGTCATTGTCTATTCTGACTCACGGTGACCCCATGTGAGTCAGAGTAGAATTATGCTCCATAGGGTTTTTGATGGCTGGTTTTGCAGAAGTAGCTCATCGGGTCTTTTTTTTTTTTTTCTGAAGCACCTCCAGCTAGACTCAAATTTCTAACCTTGGAATTAGTAGTTAAGCACATTAAGCATTTACCACCCAGGGGCTCCAATATGTGTGGTACCTAATAAATGTTTAAACAAAAGAGTTAATGCTTTCTTTCTTCCTTTTCCTTTTTTTTCTTGCTATTGGTTATCATTTTCTTTTAAACTTCTTGTTTTAGGCATGTTATCCTCCTTCCTGCTTTTGCCTCTAAAAGCAATCAAGGAAATTAAAAACAAACAAACAAACAAACAAAAAATTATGGAAAAACGGAGTTGAAAGCTAAGTGAATTTTCCCCTGAACTTCTTTTTTTTTAATGTTTTATTGTGAATTATGTGATAGTTTACATGGGAGAGCATTAGGTTTACATTCATCCTATCGTATATAGTTTCATTGCTATGGTTACAATCCCCTGCATGCATAATCAACCAACCAAAGGGTATACACTACAAACCTGCCCCCAGTCGTCAGCACACAGCCCTTCTCCCTCTCTGTGTCTAAAGTCCCTAACTGCTCCATCTCGTCACGTCATCATCTCTGCCTCTATCTCAGGCATCACGGCTTCTCTGTGTAGGGTCCCGCTCTCCGCTCCGTGAACTTTTTGAAGCCACCCCCTACTAATCTGCATTCCTTCATATTTACTGTCAATGTCTTTAAAATAATTTTCTAATAATTATATGGACTCTTGGTGTGGTGCTGTAGGATCAGCGCTGGACTGTAAACCACAAGGTTGGCAGTTCAAACCCACCTGCTCCTCAGAAACCCTGTATAGGGTTGCTATGAGTTGGAACTGACTCAATGGCACTTAACAACAATAGTCATATGCTCAGTTAAAGAGTTACTTTAATACCATTCTCATTGACAAGGTGGTACTTATCTCAGGCTGCCTGACTGAGTCTGTTCCGACTCATAGCGACCCTGCATAGGGTTTCCAAGGAACAGCTGGTGAGCTTGAACTGCCAACCTTGTAGTTCAAACCGACCTTGCAGTGCAGCGCATCAACCTGCAGCGCTCCAGAGGTCTCAAAAATGAGCCCAACTCTGACCCCTTGATCTACTTGTAATTATAAGACGCAATCAATCCCCTTTACCAAACCATGAAACAGGCCATCTTGAGAATCTCAAGATAACGTTGCGGATGAACACTCTAGCAGAAATGCAAAAAATAAATTACATTGTTCTTTGATCTGAAAATAATCACTCACCCAAACATTTGGGGCAGCACTGTCCTGGGGGAATGTGACTAAGGTGCTGAGGACAGGAAAGAATGGGACAGGTTTCTCTCACGCACTGTGTCCTGCCTCCCTGAAGAAAAGAGAGAGAGAGAGAGAGAAAAAAAAAGATATTTAGAAAAGCAAATCCATATACATTGTATATTACAAAATATCTGGACCAAAGTTGTCCCTGGACTGCTTCTGACCTTGTCATTTCTACCCAGCATCCTTTTATCTTCGCTGGTACCGCACAAAAAGGCTGCCCCTACAGAGATGATTTCAAAACCATCTCCTGCCATCTGTCACTGCCTTTGAGTCTTATTGACTGGTTTTGGAGTAGGTTGAGGAGAACCAATTGCTTCAGTGTGTCTAAGGGGAATGTGGAGGGAAAGCATAAGACTGCTAATCACAAGGCTGGCAGTTCAAACCCATCAGCTGCTCCTCGGAAACCCAGTACATGGTTGTCATGAATCAGAACTGACTCGATGGTACTTAACAGTAAGGGGGATGTAAGACTCCTGGTGTGGTGCTGAAGAATAAGCACTGGACTGTGAACCACAAGGTTGGGGGTTGAAACCCACCAGCCACGCTCAGAAACCATACACAGAGTCGCTATGAATGGGAATTGGCTTAACAGCACTTAACAACAACAAGGGGGAATGTAGGACCCTCTGTGCTAAAATCAGGTTAAGTCCCAGGCAATCTGGGATGAGTCGATGGGCAATTTATGAGCTCATTGACTTAATTTAAGAACACACCCCTCTTTTGGGTTTTAATGAGGTTTGCCTCCTCTCATAGGTGTCATTTTTCTTTAGGTCCTGCAGAACTCTTTCTCCAGGAAGACTTCACTTTCTGTCACAAGCTTGAAGGTGTCGTTAAGGTAGCTCAGTGAGGTGCAAACTACAGGAAGTAGACAACCCGCAGAAAATCATCACACTGAAACCCATGTCTCAGAAAGTCCACGGTGCTGAATTCACCTCACTAACAAAATCTGTTTTCATAACTAGTTATAAAATGTATGCTGGATAATGTTGTTACAAGGCCTAGGGGTGAACTTCTGGGGCTTAATGAAGACATTTTGCTTGGCTTTCTTTCTTTATCAGCACATCTTCTTCCGACACCATTCTAACCCTTTACCCCAGAATAATGTGCTGGACCACAAGGTCCGTTTGAACCACAAGGTCAGTGATTCAAACCCACCAGTCGCTCCTTGGAAATTCTATATAAGGTCGCTAGGAGTTGGAATCAATTCGACAACACTTAGCAACAACAACAGCAACACCCTTCAGGGATGCCCCTTTTCCTGCCTCTTAGGATCTCTCTATCTCAGGACTGTAAATGTACAGTATGCAGACTCCCTTGTCTTTCCCTTGCCAGATCCCAACTCATTCCACCCTATGTGTGTCAAGTTAGAACTGGGTTCCATTGGGGTCTCAGTGGATGGTTTTTGAGAAATAGAAAGCCAGTTCTTTCTTCCAAGTGGACTCGAACCTCCAGTCTTTCAGTTAGAAGCCTTAACTGTATGCTTCACACAGGAACGCCCCTTCATCCTTGATTCTGACTCAGAGCCTCAGCAACTTATAACTGCACATTCAGAAAACTATATCTGGGGAAAACAGAAAGCAAGGACTTTACGGCGAATTTACAAGACTGATGTGAAAACTATGCCAGACAGTATGAACTGCTGTGAGCATGAAGAATTAAGATATTTAAAGAAAAATCAGTATGTTTGATTAAATAGATCACTTTCACTTAGCAACCCTATATAGGGTTTCCAAGACTGTAAACCTTTTCAAGAGCAGAAAGCCTCATCTTTCTCCTGAGGAGCAGCTGGCAGGCTAGAATTGCTGACTTTGTGGTTCACAGTTCAGTGTTTATCCTATAAAGCCACTGCACTCCCAAAATATATCACTGTTGTTAAGTGTTGTCGAATCCTTTCTGACTCATAGCAACCCTGAAGTGGATTTCCAAGGAGTGGCTTTGAACTGCCAACCTTGTGGTTAGCAAGCAGTCCAGTGTTTATTTTACAGCACCACAGTGAAATGGCTTCTTTAGGATTTCATCTAGAAACTAAATTGTAGACATTCAGGTACTTATTGTCTTAAATGAGTAATTCCTACCACAAGACAGCTCAATCAATAAGAGGAAGACCCCCAACGAGATGGATTGGCCAGGTGGCGGCATCGATGGACTCAAACATGGCAACAATAGTAAGGTTGGCCCAGGATCGGACAGTGTTTCCGTCTGGTGTGCATAGGGTCACTATGAGTTGGTGCTGACTCGATGGCACCTAACAACAACAACAACAACCTCAACGAGCACTGGGCCTCACACAGGGAAGGGATTTCCCAGCACCCTCTCCACCAATTTCTGCGTTTGCACCAGGTTCCAAGTGTCAGGATCAACAGCAGCAAACTACTGTCTCCAGTTGTTCCGGAGTTTCCAGTCTGCCGTTACCATTCTCACTATTTTAGTTTATTTTCTGGTTAGGGAAGGATAAAGATCTGTCTTTTTAAATAGTTGTTATTTCTCAGCCTCTTTAATACTGGATTTCTCTCCAAACCAATAGAGAACATGCTAAAATACCACAGAAAGCTCTTCGGTTGTTTTTACATTATTTCCAAATCAGTAAGAATCACTAAAAATCTAAAACTCCCTGGTAGTTCTGAGATTCCTCACTCAACTCCGCATAATGTGAATCTTAGGGGGCCTTTCACAAGACTTCAGAGGGATGTAAGTTGAGTCTAGGTCATACCCTGAGGCTTGCCCCTCCTTATACATAAAACACAAGAGTCAAATCTAGAGGGAAGATTCAATGCTGCCCTTAGCTTTTAATTTCAAAGAAACTCAGCTGCAAGGAACTTCCTAAAATCTTGACGCCTCAGGCCACACGAGGTAGCCTGTGTGTTGGTTTTCCTGAGGGGCACAGAGAGTGCATTCTTTTCCTTGATAATCCCTGTTCTTGTTGGATCAGCATCTATTTTTCAAGCATATTTTTAAATTAAAAAAAAAAAAAAATTTTTTTTTAACTGCATAATTGCAAAGGAGCTAACTGGTCCAAAATTCTGGAAAGCTGGCAAGAAATTATGTGCACTCCAGTAGTTTTCCTTATAATAAGGTCAAAGAGCAGATTTTGCATCCATAATACAACTGCAGTTTGTGTTTCCCAAGAGTCAGTTAAAGTAACTTGAACTCCAGTCTGAGTCTGCAGGTTTAGTCAAGTTTTATTTTGTTTGGGTTGCAGTGTTGTGGTATATAGCCCAAGTCCCCAGGCTGTGTTCCAATTAATACCTCCAAACAAAGTCCAAGGCTCTTGCTAAGAACACAATGGCAGCTCACAACCTGCTTCTATGATTTCAACTCAGCAGGGATGCCCAGTTAAACTATAAGGTGTGGCTATGTTGTAAACTAAGGAAGTTAAAATAGCAGAAGTAAATATTTCTGTTTCAAAAAACGAACCCATTCCTTCTGTTATTGTGGGAAACTAGACTCTCTTAGATAATCATTACAGCTTTCTAATTGGCTTCTCTGCCTCAACTCTCTTCCATAAATCTATCTGGGAAGGTTCAGGATGTCTTGGATTCCTTTCTAGCAAACATACCGCATTTCATCATTTCATAAAGTACTTGTTAAAGATCTACCACATGCTGTAGATGGATACAGCAGTGAACATAACAAACAAAACTCCTGCCTGTTAGAAGTTTACAGTTTCAGGTTGACAGTCAATGTATTAGAGACAAGGTGGTGGCTAAAACAGCTAGACCACATTTCCCATCCTTCCTTGCAGTTGGGTGTGGACATGTGAGTATCTTGTGACCAATGGATAGAAAAAATGAAATGCACTTCTAGGCCTGACATGCTGAGCCTGTATGCTGAGCAAATAATACGAGAAGCTGGGTTCTATGAAGAAAAACATGGCATCAGGATTGGAGGAAGACTCATTAACAACCTGCGATATGCAGATGACACAACCTTGCTTGATGAAACTGAAAAGGACTTAAAACATTTACTGATGAAGATCAAAGAACACAGCCTTCGATACGGATTACATCTCAATGTCAAGAAAACCAAAATCCTCACCACTGGACCAATAAACAACATTCTTATCAAGGGAGAAAAGATTGAAGTTGTCAAGGACTTCATTCTTCTTGGATCAACTATCAACACTCATGGAAGCAGAAGTCAAGAAATTAAATGACATATTGCATTAAATCTGCTGCACAAGACCTTTTTAAAGTGTTGAGGAGCAAAGAAGTCAGTTTGAAGACTAAGGCGCACCTAACCCAAGACATGGTATTTTCAATAACCTCATATGGATGCGAAAGCTGGACAGTGAATAAGGAAGATCGTAGAAGAATTAATGCTTTTGAGTTATGGTGTTGGAGGAGAACACTGAAAGTGCCATGGGCTGCCAAAAGAACCAATAGATCTGTGTTGGAAGAAGTGCAGCCAGAGTGCTCCTTGGAGGCCAAGATGACCAAACTTTGTCTCTCATACTTTGAACACATTGTCAGGAGGGAACAGTTGCTAGAGAAGGACATCATGTTCGGTAAGATGGAGGGTCAGAGAAAAAGAGGGAGACCCCCAATGACATGGATTGGCCAAGTGGCAGCATCAGTGGACTCAAGTGTGGCAACAGTAGTGAGGTTGGCCCAGGATCGGGCAGTGTTTCGTTCTGATGTGCATAGAGTCGCTATGGGTCAGTACTGACTCGATGGCACCTAACAACAACAACAACAGGCCTGACATGTGGCACTGTAGGCTAATGCTTCAGACTGCAAAGTCATTTTAACTGCAAGGTCTGTGGTTCAGCTGCTCTTTGGAAACCCTATACAGGGTCGCTATAGACCGGAATCTACTCGATGGCACTTAACAACAACAGGTCTAACATATAAAAACCTTCCGATCACAATCCTTAACACTCTCGATTTCTCCCACTACTGACAGACAGCCAACTGAATGGAGAGGATATCAACCTTTCAAAAAATGGAGGGAACCAGGGTTCCTGAGTCACCACATGGAAGTCTACCCACCAGATATACCTGCAATGAACTGTTAAATTAGCAAGAAATAGATTGTGTTGCATTAAAA